GGCTCTGGCAACTGAGTTGGAGATAGTGCAGGTGTTAAAATACAAAGAACAGTAATTCAGCTGGGACTTGATGCTAATGCAGGATGCATTTCTGTTTATGAAAGTTATATATCTGTGGGCACAGATGATCTCTGCGTGGCACGCTGTGATTATGGGGACTTTGTAACAGTGCTTACTTCTATTCTGTGCAGGAGGTTACTACCTCATTCTGATAACAAAATGTCAAAAATGGGCCTGCTTGAGCACCCCTGGTATTTTGAGAACAGAAGTGAAATGCTATGGGTTTTATATCAAAGGTCAAGACTGTCCCTCGACAATATCCAGATGCCATGAATGCCATATCACTTGAAGACCATCTGAAAGAAAACCAATAACCCTGTATTACATTGGCCTGCCACTTGTGTTATTAATAACAGTGTTTGCCTTCATTGCAGCACTGAAACTGACAGCAGCTTCTTGAGTCCAAGTGCAAACAATTAAATGCAGAAATCCAGAAATTGTTCTCAGTGATGCACAGTTGCTCCACATTTTGTGCTATTGAAGACCTAGCCTTCTGCAGTCAATTAGAAATCACTGAGCTGACAGAAATGTTTCCTTTTATATTCACTGTAAAAATCCATGAACAGGTTGCGCCTTATTGAATTTGGAATAACTGGCTCTTTGACACTGTACAAAGTTCATAATGAATACTGAACAGACACAGTGTTGCTAAAAAAAATTTCTTTTCTATTTGTGAAGTGTCAAATGTGTCCATTATTATATAAAATAATTGCATTTTTAAACTTTAGGAAGCATGGTTGTGATATTTCAGCTTCTATCTTCGTCCCATGTGTATTTCCTAATCATTTATTTTGCTCTTTGTAGGAATTTTAATTCAACTTACCCTGCTTTGTGATGCCACTATTGTCAAACACTAGGGACCCTCTTGATTTAATATCAGAGTATTGCTGGGAACACAGCACAGAGATCACTGGATCTTTGGAGGTAGCTTTCTTCAAAGATCATTGGTGAACATTGTCACTTCAGCATTGACCATTAAACCGAGAGAATAACATGTATAGAACTGAGAGGACAGAAAGAGACCTTTGACCTCTTTGATAGACACCAGCGTTTATTCTCCATTCAGCCTTGTCCCTGCTACAATCTCTAACTCTTTCAGCATTAATATATGTAATATAATTTAACAAGCATGGTCAAATAATTTAAATGCATGCAATTAAAAGACTTTTGAATATATCTGTTTGTACAATATGTCCCAGTACAAGTTGCAAAAGCTTGAAAGAAAAATAGAAATCTCATTGATGCCAACTTTTCAACATGGTTTGATGATTCATCCTATTTCAGTGATGTTATTCACTCATTCTGAAATCAGGATTTTATAGATATAAAAATGCCATTGTGTTCCTTGAAAAGTGGCAGCTGTAGCTTCATATGTCTGAATTAATTCTCAGCAAGCTTCACGCAATATCTTGGATGTGAACTTCAAAAGGAAATAACATTTAATAGTGAAACGATGTTTTGACCTAGAACAGGGTGTCATGTACATTTGTGAATGTTTCATATTAAAGATATGGAGATTACTGGACTCTTTCTGGCCGCTAGTTCTACCATGAAAGCAGACAATGTACAAAATAATAGCTTCAAAACAATATAGCATTATGTAAAAAAAACAGTAAATAAATATAAAATACTAACATTTAAATCTATTGTAAGTTTATGCTTACTTTTCCTCCAATTTTGAATTTTTAAACAATTTGGTTTAACTGTTAACTGTTTGTATTAAGTAAAGGTTGAAAAAATAATGTAAGAAAGAGAAACTTAAATAATGCAGTGATTTACTTTATGATATAGTTTTGCTCCAATAGAAACCAAGTCACCAGTTCATGGAACAGCCTGGTACAAGTTGCCATATTACCTGTTATGAAAAATTAAGGAATGTTAATTTTCTGCAACACAAATCTTTTTAATGCAGTTTGCATATCATGATCTGAATATGTACTAAAATGATCAGAATATTAATGTTTACAACTGTGGATTAATGGAAGGCGATAAACCAACCATGGTTAATCAAGGAAGTTGAGGATTGTATCAAATTGAAAGAATAAAAAACAATATGGCAAAGATTAGTGATAAACTAGAGGACTGGGGAAATTTTAAAAATTAACAAAAGATGTTTTAAAAAGGGAGAAAATAAGTTTTGAGGGATAATTAGTAATTCATATAAAAACAGAAGTTGAGAGCTTCTTTAAATGTATGAAAGGGAAGAGAGAGGCCGGAGGGAACATAGAGAATGAGGCTGGGAAATTATAATGAGGAATCAAAAAATGGCAAATACTTTCAATCAGTTTTCACAGTGGTAACAACTTATAGCATAATCAAGGGGTAAGAGGGAGGAAACAAATGCAATAAATATTATGAGTGAAAAAGTACTAGCAAACTAATAGGGCTAAACACTGATACATCTGTCGACCTAACCGATTGCCTCTTGTGATATTAAAGAATGTAGCCACAGAGATAGTGGATACATTGGTCATAATCTTTCTGGATTTCTTAGATTTTGGTAAATCCCCAGCAAATTGGAAAACTGCCAGTGTAACACCTTTATTTTAAATGAGGAAGGCCAAAACAAAACAGGTAATTATAGTCCAGTTAGTTTAACATCTGTCATTTGGAAAGGATATAATCCAGAGCATTTAGAAATACACAATATAATCAAATAAAGTCAGCATATCTTCATTGACTCCCGACAGTGTAGAAGCAGGTCATTCAGCCCATCACACTCACACTGACCCTTCGAAGAGCATCCCACCCAGACCCCCTCTATCCCTGTAACCCTGCTGTTCCCATGACTAACCCACCTAGCCTGCTCATCCCTGGACACTATGGGCAGTTTGGCATGGCCAATCCACCTAACCTACATATCTTTGGACTGTGGAAGGAAACACATGCTGACACAAGGAGAACATGCAAACTCCATACAGACTGTTGCCCAAGGCTGGAATCAAACTCGGGTCCCTGGAGCTGTGAGGCAGGACTGCTAACCACTGAGCCATTTCTTCTCTTCATGAAGGAAAATCATGCTTTACAAATTTACTACAATTATCTGAGGAGGTAACAAGTAGATAAAGTGAATGTAATATATTTAGATCAACAGCAAGCATTGGTAAGGTACTGCACATAAACCTACTTAATAAGATATAAGCCCATTATGTTGGGGTAGTTTATCAGCATGGATCGAGGTTTGGCTAATCAATAGAAGACAGAGAGTTGGAGCAATGGATGCATTTTCAGGATGGCAACCTGCAACTAGTACAGTGCCACAGGGATCAGTGATGGAGCTGATGGAGTCACAATTATTTGCAATACACACTAATGACTTGAATGAAGGAAGTAAATGTACTGAAGTCAAGTTTGCAGATTGCTCAAAAATCAGTGGGAAGACAACTCATGAGAATTATAGACAGAGTCTACAAAGGGATCTGGGTGGGTTAACTTAGTGGGCAAAAACTTGGCAAATGGAGTATACACCTATAATTTTCATTCATTCATGAGATGTGAGCCAGCATTGATTGCCTACCCTTAGTGCCCTTGAGAAGGTGGTGGTGAACTGTCTTGTTGCAGTCCATGTTCTGTTATAGACCCACAATGCCCTTAGGTAGGGAATTCCAGGATTTTGAACCAGCGACAAGAAAGAAATGATGATCTGTTTCCAAGTCAGGATGGTAAGTGTCTTCGAAAGGGATTCTCAGACGGTGGTTTCCCATATATCTGCTGGCCTTGTCCTTTTTCGAGGAAGTGGTCGTGAGTTTGAAAGATGCTGTTTATGGATCCTTGGTGAATTTCTGCAGTGTATCTTGCAGATGGTACATGCCTTGGTATTCCACTTTGTAAGTGGGAAAATGTGATGTTGTGCACTTTGGCAGGAGGACTGGAGGAACTGAACGTTATTTAAATGGAAAAAGACTGCAGAAAACTGCAGCACAGTGCAATTTGAGAACATTGTCATGTATAAATTGCAAAAAGTTAGCATTCAACTTCAGCACGTAATAGGGAAAGTGAATGGAATGTTTATTTCAAAGGCAATGCAGTATAAAAAGAGGAAAATATTGCCAAAACTATACAAGGCACTAATTAGCCCACAGCTAGAATACTATGTACAGTTTTGGTCTCCTTATCTTAGGAAATATATACTGGCATTAGAAGGTAGTCCAGAAAAGGTTCACTAGATTGAGCACAGTGGGATTTTCTGATAAGGAATTGTACTCATTAGAGTTTTGAAGAATGAGAGGCAACCTTATTGAAACATACAAAACTCTAGGCAGCTTGACAGGATAGATCTGGTCCAGCTGTCAGCGCTGACCAGATATCCTAAACTGATCTATTCTCATTTTCCAGCATTTGGCCCATATCGCTCTAAACCCTTCCTATTCACGTACCCATCTAGATACCTTTTAAATGTTGTAATTATACCAGCCTCCACCACCTTCTCTGGCAGCTTGTTCCAAGCACGCACTACTCTCTGCATGTAAAAATCAGGAAGGGAATCAAAGATTGTGGAGAAAAGACAGGAAAGTGGAGTAGAGGATTATCAGATCAGTCATAATCTTTTTGAATGGCACAGCAAATTTAATAGGCTGAGTGGCCTAATTCAGCTTCTACATTTTCTGATCTTATGGATATTGTGCTACAAGCATCGCAGCTTCCCCCATAAAATGTTCCTTATGATTGAATGTGCTGAAAGTAAGATATTAAAGCATATATACCTGTCAGCTGAGTTCAGATTGCTATCGAAGCAAGGTGTTTTAGAGTTTCTGGCACTATGGTTCAATTGCCAGATGTATTGTATGAATTAATATTTCACATAATATTTCATGGAAAATTAAAAGTATTTAAATGAGTAATTGTTCTATATGTTATGCTTAGCACAAATGTTATTTAACAGCTGCAATCTATGTTGATAAAAGGTAAATTATAACGATTAATCTATTCATATTTTGCAGCCATGGAGATGACCTAATAGTGACCCCTTTTGCACAGGTAAGTTATATTATGTTTCATATGGGTTTCAGTTACTCAGCTGAATCACTTAATAAGCAGTCTTTGAGAGCAAATGATTAAGCACCTTCAGTGAGTGGTGTGTATTGCAGAGAATATTTTTCTAACAATTCCGAATTAAGTGACAACGCATAATGTTTCTCAATTGAGGCTCCAATTTATCATAGGAAGGTTTATTTCAGCTGTTTGTCTGATTACATAAAATAACCAGTTTTTTCATGTTTGTGTTTTGTTTAGGTTATAATATTGTGTGGGTTTAATATATGCTTTTGTGAAACATTAACTGTCATGAAGTCAAAAGTAGGTGGAGTTATACACTTTCTGATGACTGATAACAGTCTTGCATTGATTTAATGTGAATAAGAACAAATTTAAATACATATTGTATTCAGTGGGCCATGTACAGTTAACTTGGTGATGTAGCACAAGTTGGAGAGAAGCCGGTGGTTAGTGAGAAAATCAATGCATCCATTTTACACAAAGGTCTTAGTTAACCAGTATCAGTTGCTTGTTTTCCAATTTATTTACACACAGAATTTCCACTTAGCAGTGACAGAAGGAAATTTTCCTTTCTTGCACAGCCATCAGGTCCCAATACCTTACCTAATCTGTACATAAATGGATAAAGAAAGGCAAGTAAATTGCAAACAGCTAATCCAGACAAAGACATTCCTCTTGCCAAATTTTACAGTTAATAGATTAGTGGTTTATTCTTCTAGAGTTTGATGGATTTCAGTTTATAGCAAGATTACTTTTTGGTTTAGGCAGAACAGGTTTGACTAAATGCGTTGCTGGTATATCCATTTAGCATATCACGTTGTTGCACTGTATTAAGGTTAGAAAGTGTGTTTCTGAGTTATTACCTTCAGCAAATGCTGAATTTACTGAGTAGGACTGATTTATGACCATTTGAGGAAACTCCTAAAGATTGTAAAGTGAAGCTGATCTAAGTTTTAAAGTATTATATGTGATGTCTTTCTTTTCTTAGTACATACATTCACAATTATATATTTATAGGTGCTAGCAAGCCTGCGCACTGTAAGGAACAATTTTGCCACTCTAACCAACTTGCAAGAACGAGCATCCAGTAGCAAGTAAGTTACATTGGTGTTGAATAACTTTTTTGGCTTTCAGACCTGATATTAAAGAATGTTCTAATGTAGAAGCAGATTGTTTGATTTATCAAGCACAGCTAACTAATTAAAAGTTCACAAATATATTATGCCCTCAGATATAATACAAGTCTATTCTGCCATGGAAAGTCAAAATTGCCTTGTCACTGTGTATAATATGCAGCTAGTTTTTAACAATGCTGTGATCGAGGTGTCATTAATCAGAGAGATATGAGTTGAGAGTCAGCTGTGACAGGCTGGAAGGGAGCAGATTGAAAATGCCACAGATCTGGAGAATATTTCAGTAGCTGCTGTCATACCTGGACCATGAGTATCAGAATGGTCTCAGGGCTCATCCAATGTAAAGATTAAGATGGCATCATGTTGCTAATGATACCAGTTAATTTCTTTGCAATCTTTAGATGGTTTGCCATGGAGAACTGTCTCCAAGTTGACCTTGAAAGAAACACTGCACTGTTTCACCCTATTACAGCAGTAATTTTGTTTTGTAGCCTGCCCGTTTCCTTCTGAGAGTTCCCATTCTTTTGCTTCACTCCACTTTTGAATCTTTGCCACAGAAGTGAGTGGCACTCCTGCCTTAGGGTCACATAGAAACATAGAAGATAGGAGCAGGAGGAGGCCATTCAGCCCTTTGAGCCTGCTTTGCCATTCTTCACGATCATGGTTAATTGCCCACTCAGTAGGCTAATCCTGCTTTCTCCCCATTCACCCCAAGTGCTATATCTAGCTGCCTCTTGAATACATTCATTGTTTTGGTATCAACTACTTCCTGTGGTAATGAATTCCACAGGCTCACCACTCTTTGGGTGAAGAAATGTCTCCTCATCTCCATCCTAAATCATCTACCCCAAATCCTCAGACTGTGACCCCTGGTTCTGGACACACCCACCATCGGGAACATCTTCCCTGCATCTACCCTGTCCAGTCCTGTTAGAATTTTATAAGCCTTTATGGGATTCCCCCCTCATTCGTCTGAACTCCAGTGAAAGCAATCCCAACCTAGTCAATCTCTCCTCATACGTCAGACCCGCCATCCCCCGAATTAGCCTGGTAAACCTTCACTGCACTCCAATGTGAGCAAGAGCATCCTTCCTCAGAAAAACAGACCAAAACTGCACACAATATTCTAGGTGTGGCCTCACCCAGGCCGTGTATAACTGCAACAACACATCCCTGTTCCTGTATTGAAACTTCTCACAATGAAGGCCAACATACCATTTGCCTTCTTTCCTGCCTGCTGTACCTGCATGCTTACCTTCAGCGACTGGTGCACAAGGACACCCAGGTCCCACTGCACACTCCCCCCTCCCAATTTACAGCTATTCAGGTAATAATCTGCTTTCTTGTTTTAGCTTCCAAAGTGAATAACCTCACACTTATGCAAATTATACTGCATCTGCCATTGATTTGCCCACTCACCCAAACTGTCCAGATCACGCTGAAGGATCTCTGCATCCTTGACATAGTCCCCCCTCCCACCCGACTTGGTATCATCTGAAAACTTTGAGATTTTACATTTAGTTCCCTCATCCAAGTCATTAGTATATATATAGTCAACAGCCGGGATCCCAGCACCGATCCCTGTGGCACCCCACTGGGTACTGCCTGCCAATTTGACAAGGACCCATTAATTCCTACTCTGGTCTTCTCTCTGTCAGCCAGTTTCCTATCCATCTTAATAGACTTTCCCCAATCCCATGTGCTTTAACCTTGCACATTAATCTCTTAACGTAGGATTTTGTCAAACGCAAAAGGTGCCCTCATGCTGTGAAGAAAGTGCAAAAGACGCACAGCCTTCAATAGAATGTCCACCAGATGAGTGAAGGCGCAATAATGCTGCTGAATGAGGCTGTCCCAGCGCATTGTGACAGAACTATCTCATCTGAAGCATTTGAGGTGCAGAGCAGTACCTACAGTACACAGGTAGGGGTCAGAGCAGCGTCATCAGACCCAGTATCTGTGCAGTGTAACATCTCCTTCCTCTGCGGATATTGAGGCCCATAAGTTGTCCCTTCAACTTGAGATTCCCATGCTTGCTCAGGTCTGGGAATACATTGCAGTGCAGTACAAGTACAGTGTGACACATAATCCTCCCACATTGTGCTCCAGACAACTGCAACATTCAAAGAGGTGATGTGATGGACAGTGAGGATCTGGGACAGCTGCAGCATTGTACCATGTAGGAAAATGAAGACATTGATCAAAAAGGACATCACCTCCTTTGTTCTTTTCCTGCCTACTACGCTACACCTGGATGCAATGCAGGGACCTGCAACTGGGGTAGATGGATCTTTTCCTGTAGTAGAGCCAGTAGGTCTTGGAGTTTTGGGCAGATGATCCTCAGTGTATTTGTGGCTAGAGAGCACAGCCATTCAGGCCAAAAGTAGGTTCACCCTCCTTGGCTTGAAATTCCTTTCGGTTGAGGTTCACATTCTGTATGGAAGTGGAGGAGTTGGGTATTTCTCTGGAGTGTCCTGAGAGGAGACTCTGAGTGGCCTGTCTGAGTGGTTCTTTCTCTGGTATCTTTTGGCACCTTGTGAGAAAGGAGTGAGGTCAAGGTCTCTCATCGTCTGTACTGAAGAAGGGTCACTGGACCTGAAACATTAACTTGCCTTTCTCTCCACAGACGCTGCCAAACCTGCTGAGTTCCTCCAGCAATTTCTGTTTCTGTCTCATCATCCTGTTGCTTTATTGTTGGTGGCTAATGCGGTGGTGTGCATCTCCAACAACCAATGAGCATTCTGCTAGGCCTGCCTCTCCATGTTAAGCAGCAACCTGCCTACAGAGACAGTAGGACGCGCACATGTTGGAGTGAGCACAAAACAGATAATATTGGTGGACTCGTCCACCCTTTCATCCAGTTTCCTTTGCATTTTTGACCGTGATATTAGCGGCTACGACGATGTGGTTCTCTCCTGCTTGTGACTGAACAGCCGCCTGATCTCTCGCAGTGATCGCTGCATGTTGGCGACCTGCAGCGTTGCTTCCTCGATCAACTGCCAGGATGTGCCTGTGATGTGCCCAGCAGAACGCACTTCCTACTCTTATCTGGCTACAGAACCCGCCAAGCAGTCGGTGTCTGAGCTGGTCCAGGGTGCAGGAGATGGCCTTGCTGTTGCATCCTCTGAAGGAATTGTAGGTTCTTCCTGAGAGGTTACAGAGGCCATGTTGGCTGGAGGAGCAGTTCCTTCATGATGGAGGCTATGTGAATCCCATTGGTGCCTGTAGGGGACGAGCGAGGGAATGAGTTGCACAATAGGGATAGAAGCTTTGGCACATTAAGATTACAATCACAGTGGTGGTAATGAGCGAGACAGCACTTGACAATAAATCTTACTTGGTTGCCAGGACATGGAGGTTTCAGCATCGCTACATGAGTGGTCACTGTCCTTGCCTACTTCAGGAAGCAGGGGGTGAGCAGGTGAGGATCTGGCACCCGCCATCATCTTGCCCCCTCTGCCTTATTGTGGGCAGTTTTCTTCTGCAGTGGGACAAGAGTAGGGAGTGAGTGAAACGAAAGTGGCTGTTACAGCTGTTAATGGCGGTGCAGGTGGAGACAGAAATGATGAGGTGTCACAAGTGGACTTGCAGGTTTAATGGTTTGGAGGGGTAGGATATTTGAGAATGTTTGAGGGAAGATTCTGCATGCACAGAATCATAGAATCATACAGTACAGGAGAGGTCCTTTGGCCCATTGAGTCTGCACCACGTCTGCAGTTGTGCGAGTGTTAGACCATGAGGTGTGTGCAGTAGTGTCAGTGGTAGGAATCCCAGAAGATCCCAGCTAACACATCTACATCTGGTGTGCATAAGATAGCATGAGAACAACACTGTGGAGGGGTGGTGCATAGTTAATGAGGTGAGTGCTGTAAAAATTGTGTGCATTTATGCTCTAGAGCTCACAGGAAGAAACCCTTCCCCAAATTCTCAACTGAGTGCACAGTAAGAGAGCAAATGAGGATCTTTGAGGTGCACCCTGATTGAATCCATGAGGTGGGTGTCTGTTCCTGCACATGAAGTGTCCTGGAATCAACAATCCAATTAAAGGTGCTGATGCGCTTCAAAGGTACAGCATTGAAGTACAGAATCATGTTGCTAGTTCATTGGAAATATGACATGAGGATATGGTGAGGCTGGTAGATGTCTTATGCCATGGTATGTGGATAGAGAATGTATGCCATTCTTACACATGAGGCATATGTTGGTGACGGCTGTCCAATAGGGGAAGCAACAGCGTGGTGGTATTATCGCTAGCCAGTAACATTCTGGGGACTGGGGTTCAAATCCCGCCAGAGCAGATGGTAGAATTTGAATTCAATAACACTCTGGAATTGAGAGACTAATGATGTCCATGAATCCATTGTCAGTTGTCTGATAAACCCATCTGGTTCGCTAATGTCCTTTAGGGATGGAAATCTGCTATCCTTACCTGGTCTGACCTATATAGGACTTCAGACCCACAGGTACAAGGTTGATTCTTAACTGCCCTCTGGGCAATTAGGAATTGGCAATAAATGCTGGCTCATAAACGCTCATGCCATGAACGAATAAAAAAAAAGGCAGTCCGTGGGAGCAAGTGCTAAGCTGGAATCACCGATTAACTGCTCCGAACTTTCAAGTTGGGACTTCACACCATCTAGTTTCTATCCGATGGCTAGGACAATGGAAAATTGTACATCAACAATGCAAGATTCAGTAATAATGAGATATTAATACTTTCTAATGTATGCAAATAGGCTTCCTATTTTTGTCTTGTCCTTCAACTCTTGGTTAGAAAATGGGAACTTTTGCTCTCGATTTTGAAAACCTCCTCACTAGCCATCTCAGGCTATTGCCCTAACTCTTTCACCAATGTCTACATCATTCCGGGGCAGAATCAACTGATTTCACACATTTTCTGAAATTTAGTTTTATTGAAGCTATTGAAATAAAAAATTGGAAAAGATGCAAATCGCCTACTAACAAGTGCCTGTTTTACACAATAATATGAAGTCAACATTACTTTTAATGACTTACTTGATCTGCCTGATTATCCAGAACTGAGTTAAATGATGTTATAATTCCCTATTAGAGCAGCAACATATTTTATTTTTGATTAATGTATACCCATCTGTATTGTTATATATGAATATCTATTTATCCATTTTTGAGATATCTTTGAGACATAAATATATGACATAAAGTTAAATGTTGGAAATGCTACTTCGGGACATAGTTGCAGTGTATTAATTGGTACTGTGTAAGTACCAGCCAGAATTTATCACATACCACAGCGACCCCTGCTGTTCCAAATACTGGATCAACAATTTGAGTTTCTGAAGGCAACAAGTAGATTTATTCAAGCAATTATACTCTTCTGAAGTAAGCGTATGTCATTTAGCCATTAGAAATGTGAGCTTCCTACAGAGACATCTTGAATACATGAAACACAGTGTACTGGGCTCTTAAATGAGAACTTTACCACATCAGAAAATCAGTTTAAAAAAATGTAAATACTTGAATAACATATCTTGCACTCAACTAATGTACTCTTGTTCTATTAACTTCCAACAATGCAAAGCAAGGATAATTATCGCATGTTTTTCCTATTTCAAGCAACTTTTTTCCTAAAAATATGTAGCCGTTGTTGTTTAACAATTTATAAAACAACAGTTAAAATACGTTAAATAATCAACACCTTTTTGAATTGAAGCATTTTTAAAGGTAAAGATTGACTAATTATCTTTAGATATATCAACTGGTAGTATTTGATTCTTTAGGCACAATTTTTTTTAATATTAGTATGCAAAAGGCAATATTTCTCAGACATTTGTCTGGAACCTCTTAACCTGTGAGGGCAGTAAGGGTGTTACTGGAATTCTAACTTGATGCATTTATTTTAATGATACAGGCGCTCACCAATGTGTAACCAACCACCAATGAATAAGCCAAGTTTTACAGGTGAGTGATTCATTTCTTCACTTTTAAAGCTTCAACAACGTGAATTATACCAAATGACATGTTTTCTGGAGCATGGTATTGATATACTTGTCTGCAGTATGGTCTGGTGGATATAGGTCCATGCCTGAAATTCTCTTATGCTTTACTTAGTCAGCCAGGAAATTAAGGACAGATAACTGTTGCATGTCTTGTGGCAATAGGCTAAAGTGACATTGCTACAGTCCACAGGAAAAGATGTCTTTTTGCATTCTGAGGAAAGTGGGCAACTTAAAAGTAAGAAAACATGTTCTTGTACAAATATTTATATCTGATCGTTAACTTTCTGTCAAAAGCTTGAGAACAGGTCGTTAGCTGTTGGCAAATAGCACATGTCATGGGAAAATCTGCGGTTGAGTAGCAAAATAAAAATGAAGGAGTGGACATTAGGAAACCATAAGTCATTTGCAATCTGTTAACACTGTGTAACTTGTTATTTTTTAAATACCATTGCAGTATGGAACAAAAATGTTTCACAGCATAGCATTTGGCTCAATTCATCTGTTCTACCTCCTTGCTAAAAATATCCAACGTCAATTCCACTGAACACCTCTATCCACGTGGTCCTTTAAAATTCTGTGCTTTAAGTTCCCATGAAATTTTTGCAAAAGTACATCATTTTCATTGCTGGGCAAACCAAATATTTAACATGCAACCTGAAGTAGAAAATGGGCGGTAAGTTTTCATTTGCTGGAATTAAATGGTTTCTGAAATTGAAAGATGAAAGCGTTAACTTGATTTCTAACTTGATATCAATTGATGTCTCTTTAAACTGAAGTTATTCTATCAAAGAGAAACGTTGATAAACAGTTCAAATGTGTTTAGGGATGATACTGCCACAGGAGTGCTGGAAATCAGTTCCCATTGTGAATTTCAGAGGTGGGACAGACACAGGCTATCTCTTGCAAGGAAAATAAACTTTAATAAGTTACTGAAGAAAGTTCTTGAAAAAATAACATAAATATTAAAAAAGGTAAGAAATCATGCGAGGATGCAACTGCGGGTGAAGAATCTAACTGTTTTAGACCCATTTCCTGTGCTTTGCGTTGAGGATATACATCAATCTGTTAGTGGGATTGTTTTAGCCTTCTCTAGCCTACATCTGGATTCACATTTAAGTAGTACAATTAAATATGTGTAACGATGCTATTTATGATGAGAACTGTCTTATTTCAAATCTTAATGAAACATATTGCACAATTTGTGAGTGCGAATTTTTATTTCGGTTCAGCTGAAGTTATCTAATAAAAAGAGCTTCCAGAATTTTGCTCGAATCTTCCATTTTAAACTATGGGCTGAATTTTACACCATCTTACCCATGTCTCCCAGTAAAAAGTCAAGGGAGCAGTGAGGGTGGAAGTGTTTCCATGACAATAACAGTTGCTGCAGAGCAACTTAATGCTGGGAACTCACTTTTCTGTAAGACTAAGATGCAGCCCACCTTAGAGAGCTACTGGCCAATCTGATTGACTGACAACGCTGCCATCCCAGCAACGCCAGACTAGAGTGGTGGCCTTCATTGAGACAACAAGCAGTCTTCAAAGCTGAAGAGCCCAGACTGACAATGAAATCCAGGAGTGGGTGTGTTGGTAAGGGGAGGGCAGGTAGCAGGGCATTACAGTGGGCCAATCAAGAGGCCAGAAGGAGAGTTAAAGTGACAGTGTAACTCCAAAGAAGACAGGCGTCTTGCCCAATACCAGCCAATGCAGCTAAAGTTGCCAGATCTCCCCATGGTGTGCTTCCCTCCTGCCACAGGTGAAACACTGGCAGAGGCAGGATTAGGCATCTATTGGCTGTTCAAATGCCCAAGGGTGGGTGGACAGTCTGATGCCAGCACACTAGTCTGCAAAAGCTCAGGGGAAGATGGATAGATGACAGGTAGGCTGCTTACTGGACTTTACTTGTACCCACCCAGTGTCGAACCTGCAGGTGGAGTGGTGTAACTCTAGGCCTATGTGCAAGACTGGGCATGCTGCTTGAAATCGCAAACTTTGTGTCTCGTTTATTGCCTTCTCCAATTATTGTGATGTAAAGTCGCAACTTTCGGGGGAAGATCTTCTAACTTGAAATCTGTCTTCCTTTTAATTTGCCATTAAAATGATAAGACTACAAGACATCGAAGCAGAAATAGGCCATTCAGCCCGTCGAGTCTGCTCAGTCTTTAGTTGAGATTATGTCTGATCTGATAATCCTCAACTCCACTTTCCGGCCTCTTCTCCATATCCCTTGATACCTTTACTGTTGAAATATTTATTCCAGCCTTGAAAACATTTAAAGACCCAGTCTTGACAGCCCTCTGCAGTAGAGAATTCCACAGATTCTGTACTCCCTGTACAGTCATGACTTTGTGGCCAAATTCATCTTAACTCCATTTACAAGTTCATTGACAACACTACCATTGTCGGCTGGATTTCAAACAATGACGAGACAGATTCTGTTTTCTGATACAGGACAAAGATAGAGTGCTTGGTGGCATTGGTGTAAAGATAACAATCTCTCCTTCAACATCAGCAAAACGAAAGAGCTGGCCATTGACTTCAGGAAGCAAGGTGGAGAGTATTTTCCCATCTACATCAATGGAGCTGAGGCAGAGATAGTCAAGAATGTCAAGTTCCTGGGAGTGATGATCACCAATAATCAGTCCTGGTCCACTCACGTTGACACTGCGGTCAAGAAAGCACAAGAGCGCCCCTACTTCCTCAGGAGGCTAAGGAAACTCAGCATGTCAGTAAAGACTCTTACCAACTTTTACAGATGCACCATAGAAAGCATTCTGTCCGGATGCATCATGGTTTGGTACGGTAACTGTGCCACCCAGGACTGTAAGAAACTACAGAGTTGTGAGCACAGCCCAGTCCATCATGCAGGCCAATGTTCCATCCATCAACTCCATTTACACTTCTCACTGCCTTGGGAAGACAGCCAACGTCGTCAAAGACACCTCCCACCCTGGTTATAATCTCTTCCAACCTCTTCCATTGGGCAGATGGTACAAAAGCTTAAACACGCAAACCAACAAATTTGAGAACAGCTTCTTCCCCACTGTTATTAGACTTCTGAATGAACAACTCAAATCTCACATTCGCTCTTTGTACACCTTCCCTGCAGCTGTCACATTGTATTCCTCAATTTATTCTATTATCCCTATGCACTTTGTGTTGTATGAGCTACCTATACTGCATGCAAAACAAAACTTTTCACTGTACCTAGGTACGTGTGACAATAATAAATTGAATCAATTCAAATCGGGTCACAACCCTCTGAGAGAAGAAATTCCTTTTCATCTCCATCTTAAAAGTACAACCCCTTCTTCTGACATTATACCTTTTGGTCCTAGACTCTCCCACAGGTGGAAATAATCTTTCTGCTTCTATCCTGTCAAGTTCTCTAAGAATCTTAGCAGGTCTGGCAGCATCTGTGAAGGATAAAACAGAGTTAACATTTCAGGTCCGGTGACCCTTCCTCAGAACTGATGGTGGCTGGGAAATCGTCAGTTTATATGCAGAAAATAGGGAGGTGGGTGGGGTAGGGAGTAAACGAAAGGATAGAGCCCAAAGAGAGAGAAAGACAGTTGGACTGACAAAGGAGTTGCTAACGATTAGGCTGGGAGGGTGAATATTAACCTTAACAACTCCCATTAACAAGTATTCACCCTCCCAGCCTGATCATTAGCAATTTCTTTGTCAGTCCAACTGTCTTTCTCTCTCTTTAGGCTCTATCCTATTGTTTACTCCCTACCCCACCCACCTCCCTATTTTCTGCATATAAACTGACGTTTTCCAGCCACCATCAGTTCTGAGGAAGGGTCACCGGACCCGAAACTTTAACTCTGTTTTCTCCTTCACAGATGCTGCCAGACCTGCTGAGCTTTTCCAGCAACTTTGTTTTTGTTCCTGATTTACAGCATCCGCAGTTCTCTTGGTTTTTATTCTCTAAGAATCTTATATGTTTCAATAAGGCTGCCACTCATTCTTCTACATTCCAACTAGTACAGGCCCAATATTCTCAACTGCTCCTCATAAGACTGTCCATCCATGCCTCATATCAACCCAGTCTCCAATGCAAGTATATCTTCCCCTAGGTAAGGTCTCAAACCTGTTCACAGTGTTACAGCTGTGATCTGACAGTGATCTTACTAGTTGCAGAGCTTGCTATTTGTTCTTTTGACTTTTTGAGTACATCCCAGAGTATTTTTCACAGTCTGGACCAGATGGTGAATTTATAAAAAGACAAAATGGTGAAAACAATGTTGCTTCTTTTTTTTTTATTAAGAATATTCCTTGGTAACTGGCAAGTGGGTGGCTTTGGAAAGCGAGATAAGGAGAGTTCAGGGCCAACATATTCCTGATAAGAGTGAAGGACAAGACTAGCAGGAGTAGGGAACACTGGATAAGAGATATTGAGGCTTTGGTCAAGAAAAAGATGGAGGCATATGCCAGGTATAGGCAGCTGAGATCAACCGAGTCCTTTGAGTATAGGGATATAGGAGTACACTTAAGATGGAAATCAGGAGGGCATAAAGGGGACATGAGAAAGCCTTGGCAGATAAGATAAAGGAGAACCTAAAGAGATTCTACAAGAATATTAAGAGCAAAAGAATAACTAGGGCCCCTTAACGATCATTGAGGACATCTCTGTGTGGAGCCACAGGAGAAGGGTGATATCCTAAACGAATATTTCACGTCAGTATTTATCGTGGACAAAGACATGAAAGCTAGGGAACTCAGGAAATAAATAGTGATGTCTTGAAAAGTGTCCACCTTACAGAAGAGGAGGTTCTGGAGGTCTTAAAAAGCATAAAGGTAGATAAATCTCCAGGACTTCATCAAGTATAACCCAGGATATTGTGGGAGCTATGGAAAAAATAGTGGGACCCCTGTTGGAAATGCTTGTACCATCGGCAGCCATGTGGCTAATGTTGTGCCATTAGGTGGCAGCGCTGGCATGGCAGATAGTGTTCAAAC